AATTATTCAAATAATAATTTGTCTACTGCTACTTATCGTTTTAGTAGTAGTAGTAGTAGTAGTAGTAGTAGTAGTAGTGGTGCTACTTAGTAAAATCATAAAAAAATAATTTTTTTGTGACATGATAATAATCAATCATTCGTACGAGAGAATGACGAAAAAAAACCAAATAAAAAAAAAATTTTAAATAAATCATCATCATTATTATTATCGTACGTCGTTTTGATGATGATAATAATAATAATAATTTTATTTTTTCTTCTTTCATCTCCTCGTTTTATTTAAATAATAATAAAATGAAAGAAATTGTTGTTATAATTAAAATATTAAATGTAAAATAAAATTTCGTAGGAGAAGAATTTTTAGCTTCTTGTATGACGGAATATTTAAATTCTTCGTTTAAACTTTCAACTTCTTCTTGTAATCCTCCATCTTGTTTTACGTTATCATTATTATTTTCTAAAATTTTTTCTCTGTTGTTGTTATTAACTGTTATCAATCCGCTTTCTTTTCTTTTATAATCTTTAAGTACGTATAAATCTTCCGTTTCGTTTTTTCTCGTACTAATTATTTCTTCGGATTTGACTGTTTAAAAACAAACAAATAAATAATTTTAATTATATTAACAATTTAATGGGGATTTTGGGGGGGGGGGGAAATTACTACTCACGTTCTTGCGTGACGTTTTCAATGAAATTAATTTTAATAAATGTCGTCAATGAAATTTCGTATATTTTATTCGGATCCGCTGGCATGGATTCAACGGATCTTCTTCTTCTTCTACCATAACCGATTTGTCCGTTGCTACATTGGACCTGTGAATTTTCAAAATGATTCAATGTGATAAATCAATCAATCAATCAATCATTTTCCTTCCTGTTGAAAAATCTAACTCACTCCTTGACATTTATCCAAACAAACATTAACGGTTCCTTTAAATTGCACGTATGTCGAATCGGGAAATTTAAATGCTCTAAATTTAGCTGATAAAAAGTCACCATCGACCGTGTTAAAATTTTCAAATAAATAAGGATCGACTGAACACCTGATGAAAAAAAAAAAATAATAATAATAATAATAATAGGTACGTATTGTGTATAGTTCGTTCTTTATTATTGACATTGAATGGATGAATTTTTTTTTTTTATTTTTAAAAGCATAATTACGAACCCGTTGAATATTATAGTTTCCTCTTGTTGTTTCGTGTCAGTCACTGCATAAAGGATACGAGAATTCCATAGACTGGAGCGCTGGACTTGTCTAAATATATTTCCATTGTTAATGGCGTTCCTGGAGTTACGTTAACTTCTCCGGTTATTCTTTCTTTTCCTTGACGGACTCCAACGTTTAACATGGGTTCGGGTGCTTTTTCGGTTAGCGACGTCGTTATTTCTAAATCCCTTTTTTTTTAAACAATTTTTAATTTTTTGAAGTCTACTATCGAAATCGGAAAAAAAAGCAGAAGAAAAAGGAAAACTTACTCGGGTTCTTGGAAACCGGCCGGAAGTACATTTCTCTTCGATAATGCTCGATTAACTTTATTCGTTGCAATAACGCATTTAACCAAAAATGATTCTTTATCCGGTTGCATGTTTTCCTTATATTCTACCATTATTCTATGATAATACATTGTTTTGTTCTACAAATAATAATAATGATAATAAAACATAATTATTTATTTTTATTTATTTCTCGGAATTTAGAAAAAAAAAAAAAATTTTTTTTTTGCTACAATTTAAATAATTTACAACAACAGAACAATTTAAGTCACGTTATTAAAACTATTACCAAATTTTTTTTCGTATTAATAATAATAATAATTTTTTAAACGTTTAAAAAAAACCTTTGACCTACGTGAACCCCTCCTCCCTACCTTCTTAATATTTTTTCACTCAAAAAAGACAAACACGACAACAAACAAACAAAAACGATGACAGACGACACAAATCTTTCATCATTCCGATGGATTTGATTCTACTTTTTCCTCTCTCTCTCCTCTCTCTCTCACTCTCTTTCTCTCTCTCTCTCTCTCTTTTACACAAAATAACTGCTTTTATATTTTTAATTACATATAATTAAATTAATTAATTACTATAATTTATAATTTACTTTACGCCGCGTATTTTTTTTATTTAAATTTAGTCATAGTTTCCGTTAATTTTATACCTCGAAACAAAAAAAATCGAAATAAAATTTTTTGTTGTTGTCTTTGTTATAAACAAATAAAATTGTTTATAATTTATAATAATAATAATAATTGCGCATAAAATATATTTAATAATGTCAATGTAATTAAACCGGATCATCAATTACGATTACGTAAAAAATTTAAAAAAATCAAAGGTTTGTTTGTTTTGTTTGTCTACCTAAGACCTACAAGGTAGACAAACATGGAGGACGAGAAAGAAAAAAAAAATGAAAAAAGTTTATTGAATCTCCTTGAATGAATCGAATACGAGACGTGCAAAATTTTTTTTTTTTTCTTTTCCAGACGTTTCTACGGTGAAAAATTTAATTTCTTCAGACGAATAATAATAAATTAAATAATAATAATAATAATAATAAATAATAAATTTTTTAAACGCATTCTTTTTCCTATATCCTCTCCGATGT